CCGAGGTCATTCCATATTATTCCATCCGCATTACACATTCCAGTGGTGCTGTTAAAAGCCCCGTCAGTGTTCACTTTGACGCACCTCAGGTCCGGGGGATGCCACTGGATCATGCGTAGCGTATACAAGTTTGCTCCTGCCTTTACATAGGCCGTGGGTGCTCTATCATACGAGTCTGATTTACTCATAACATCCCGGTAGCGAGCCTCACAACCTATCGTTCGGTTATTAAAAATATTCTCATTCCGCCATGTCCCGGAGCTCCAAGAACCAAAAGCGAAGGTCCCGCACCAACTCCTAGACAGCCCCGCCGGCTGTATTCCCAGATTGCTCCGTAGCCAAGTCCGTAACTCCGGGTGGAAAAAAGTGCACTCTAACCCCGTCAGGAGGAGCTTGCGCCACATCATCCTCATACATGGGAAATCACATAAAACATGTAAGGTGGTTTCGGGCTCCCCACAAATNACAATTCGGTGAACTAGCGAGGTGTCACCGGACCCTTTCGTCGTTAGTCAGGAGCCTGCCGCGGGCTGCCAGCCATAAAAAGGTCCGAACTCGTTGCGACACCAGAGAAGTCCAAATCAGTTTCCAAAGCAGTCTATTCGGGTCCCTATCTAGTTGGGCTAGTGACGTGTAGGCTGTACGGGTAGTGAATTGACCATCATGCGACGCACCCCATAAAATATGGTCTTTACTGGGTGTGGCTCGCTGCGGCAGAATTCCAGTAAGGCGCATGATGATCGCTGAGGGAAGGTGCCCGTGGAAAGCGTCCCATCGCCAGTCACCTCTTTCGTCGACGTAGTCGACGACTTTCAGGTCAAGGTCATTGTCGGGTGACCGAGTACAAGTATGATGAATGAGAGATCCGACTGTACTCAACCACGGGTCAAGCCAGAACCTCTCCGTTTCCCCATTACTAACGTGCCACCTAGCCTCTTTAATTAAATCGGGCCAAATTTTGGACAAGGCTTTCATGAGCTGGGACCCCTTACGACACTGTGGAGTATCCAAACTGTTTGAAGAGTCCAGGTCGTACTTGGCAGCCACAAGTCGTGCCCATAATGCGCTGCTTTTCGATAGGAGGCACTGTTATGTTAGGTTGAATTCTCTTATAATAGTTAAAATAACTTCCTTGTTAGATTACATTTCACATAACACAGTCCACATTAAAAACTGATTATCCGCAAACATCCTAAATCACATAACAATATAACTTCATTTGCAGAACATTCTAAATCACAAGATCACATGATTTCATTATCAAGACACAGAACACATGAATTCAAATTTCAAATCCAGATACTTTAATTCATTTCCATATCCATAACTAAAATTTCCAAACATCCACACTTGTTCCAAATCCCCAAATCACCATAAAATATTCCCAAGATTAGTTAAACAATACCATGTCATCCACACAGAAAATCAAGAAACCCCAAAAATATGAAATCTGTTCAAAACACCATAACACTACCAAATTTGTACAAAACTATCCCAAAAGCACCATAACAAAGTATGTTCAAAACTACCACATCAAACACTAACACATCATCATCAACTTGCTCTTAACATGGAGGGGTATATCCATCTCAAGTCTCACTCTCTTGAGTGCATATGAAGCCCCCTATTTTTTTATTTTTGAAAAATATATAAAATTACAAAAATGCTCTTAATAGTCAGTATTTTTTAGTCAAAACCACATTTTTTGTTAAAACCACATTTTTATCTTGTTTAGTGGGTAATTTGACAAACTCGTGTAGTTCAGGTGGTGATTTATTTTTTTTTTAAAAAAATTATACTGTGATACGTGAAAATCGTCATAATTCGGATCGCAAAAAGTTTTCCTCAAATATATAAGAAAACCGAAGCAATTAACATGATTCATGGGATATAATTCAGATATCCCCGCAAATAAATCATATTCAAACAATGAATCCAATCATTGTATTTCCAAAATTTCAGAAGCATATCAATATACAAATATCCAATCTATAAATATATAAAAAGGTTTGGCATTACTTGAAATATTATAAAAAATCCTGCCTAAAATTTTTAAAGTTACTAAACTTGGCAATAATTTTCAAAAATTTTCAAAAAATCCCGCCTAAATGTATTTTTGAATTTTTTTAGAAACAAATTAAGTTCATTACATTTAAAGGAAAAAAAGAAAGATTACAATCACAAATTTTAGGTAACATTCCATCTTTCATAAACTTTCATATTATCTCTTCAATATCTTTTAGGAATGTATTTAAATTAAAAATAAGAAAATGGTGTGATTGTATATAAATTCAATAGTAAAAAATTCAATCAAAACTCAAATTTAACTCAACTTTAACTCTACCCCACTATCTTCAATATTAATAATATAATTAAATAATAACAACCAATTATTCTTACACATCACATCAACTTT